TTAAAGGATCTATAGAAGTATAAAACAAAATTGAATGATAAGTGAAGCTTTGTTGCGCAAGAATTTAAAAAATCTGGTAAAAATACCCTCACTTGATTATTGTAATTTGCAATACCTTAGCGATATCCTTGGGATTGTATTTGGTTTGCCTAAGTCTTACAAGGATGACAATGAATGTAAAATATACAAATACAATGGACATTTGCTTAGTGTATAGGTATTTAATATAAACAGGCATGTTTTTGTAACTTGCCTAGTGCTACAATTAAGTACACAAAGAGAAATCTTTAGTTCCTGTATATTTACTAGAGATGATGTCTCTTGGCTACACAATCAACTTAGCTGCTTGCCACTGCTTGCCACTTGGTAAAACTTGGAACCAATACTTTCCTCTTAGATATACAAACAACTTAGAACTTGTTACCAGCACTCACTACTTGGCTATTTGCCACTTGTCACAAACTACAACGCATCCCCTAGTCACCGTGGGTCTCTTTGACCACTTGGTCACTTAAAGTATAAAAAAAATGTATACAGACTTTTACCAACTAATCTACTGTCTCCATGACTTTACCTGACAATAACTTGTCTTCTGACAATCAGGACACCACGGTTTGCACACATTATGTACTATTGGCTATTTTGATACATAAATACTCTTTATATCAATCTTTTATAATGTTTTATAGGCAAGAATCTGACTTTGAGCATGCTTTGCTAAATTAAACCAAACATAAATTTTCATTCTGTTTCTATATATGACATTCTTTCTTGAATTCTCATTCAATCAAATAACCTGTCAAATAAATTATGTACAAGGATTTCTTGATAAATGCAATTTAGCAAAAAGGAGTACCTTGCTTCACTTATTAAAATTTTGAACTCTGACAGATACCCAGGAGCAGGGAATAGGCACATTTATTTTTTATCTATACATTTACATTTATATTATTGCATTTAGTTAGTTTGCTTAATACTCAGGGGCAGAGGAAAAAAAATTCCAAGAATAAATGCATTTTCACAATATAATAAATTAAGCCCCGTCCTAACACCAGAACCCCAGACCAATTGAAAATTTTGAAAGAGACTTCCTTGCCCCTCATTACTATTATCTAGTTAGTTTGTTTAACACCCAGGAGTAGAGAAGAAGATTTTCAAAGAATTAATGCATTTTCACTATATTATCAATAGAGTTTCCAGCCTTTCACCAGAATCTCCGACCCTGGGGTCATGAATTTCACAATTTTGGAAGAAAGATTCCTGTTTATCATAACCATGTACTTGGTTGGTTAAAATAATACCCAGAGGCAGAGAAGAAGATTTTCAAAGAATTAATGTATTTTCACTATATAATCAATAGAGCCCCGCCCATAACCCCTGACCCAGGGGCCATGAATTTCACAACTTTAGGAGGCACCCTTGCTCATCATAAAGATGCACTTAGTTTGTTTAATACCCAGGAGCAGAGAAGAAGAATTTCAAAGAAATATTGCACTTTCACCATATGATCTATATAGTCCCACCCTAACATCAGAACCCCTGACTCTGGGCCATGAATTTCATAATTTTAGTAGAGGACTCTATGCTTATTACAATCATGCCAACAGTTTGCAATTGACTTCTTTATTTCCAGGAGTAAAGACGATTTTTAAAAATTGCATTTATTTTGGTGGTTTTAGCCCCACCCCTCAAGCCCCAGGGGGCAGGGACCATTATTTTTTTGTTCCATTTCACCCATAAATGCTATATGCCAAATTTGGTTGAATTGTGCAGCGGTTTCAGAGAAGAAGATGAAAATGTTCAATTGTTAACGCATATCGCGCGACGCACGATGACGTCATGGTCTATATGTAATTATCATAGCAAACATTTTGCAGAAGGACATAGTACACTAAACTAGCGTATGTCCACGAATGTGATAAAAATTCAATATCCAAATTTTTGACATTTTCATGAAACAAGCTCAGCATCAGACTATGCCTTGCGTCTTGCATATACAATCTATTTACACCTATAGCTTTCGTGAAATAGTGTTCTTTTAATTTTAATAAATGAAGTAAATCATAGTCTACTTCAAAAGAGTAAAGTACACATTTGGCAGTGTGGCCATTATTACGAAAGATAGAGCATTTGTCTTCGACCTTTATGGATATACAACAAGTCATGTTTAGGAACTGCACTAGAAAGCACTGAAAAAGAAGTTCTTGACACTTTGTCAGAAAGGATTTAGTGTATCAGATGTATGGAAAAATCTCGCATTAAGCAAAAGAGGGGCAATATGAAAACCATATATTCTTCTGTGTTCAATAATTCATAAGTGAAAAAAGAATGAGATAGACTACACGATCAGTATGTACTGGTCCCAGCTGACATAGCAATTAACAACACTGTCTTTGTTTGTAAGGCTCATTATTTCAGTTGTATTTTAGAGGAACTGGGGTTTAATTCTAAAAGTGGAAATCCAACTTATACCCATAGCTCCCTTTCTAATGCAGAAATTCTCAAAAATAATATGCCTGTGTTTAATATTTTCATTATTCCCAACAACCAAATGAATTTTAATTATCATATCTATACTGGATTCCGAAACTTCATAAAAAATCCTCACAAACAAAGATTCATAGCGGGTTCCAGTATATGTTCTACTATACCAAGCCTCTTTCTTTACCCCTCACTAAAATATAAACAGCAGTGAAGGAAAAACTTCAGGAGTACTTTATGACAGTAATAACCAGAAGCGGTGTTAATCAAATGCAGATTCTTAAAAATTCCAGGGAACTTTTGGAAAATTTGAAATCACAAAATGTTACCAAAACCAATAACATCAAAACTTACGACTTTTCAACTCTATATACAACCATCCCCCATGATAAATTAAAGTCCAGGCTTTTTGACATCATTGATGTCATAGTTTTTCAATAAAAATGGAACTCGTAAATTTACTTACCTTGTCAATGGTCATTTGCAAAAAACATTTCTTAAAAAGCATTTGATTTGATTACGCAAATACTCTTAAGTCGATATTAAAAAATGCTTGAGTTTGTGATTGACAATATCTATGTGGTTTTTGGAGACAGACCTTCCAACAATTTGTTAGAATTCCCATGGGTACCAATTGCGCCGCGTTTATATGCAGACCCTTTTTTGCATTTCTATGATCTCCACATTCAATTACCAAAGTTACTCAATTTAAAAGGAAAAAAAAGATAATTATATGCTAATAAATACATTGAAGTACAATTGTGTTTTGTTAAATTTACTTTTTTCTATATAAAGTTGTTCAGTTGTGAGAAAGAGAAAAAATATGACATATTTAAGTCTTATCAAAAAATATAAATACATTTAAGGAAATATATTTACATTTGCAATGTTTTTCTATAAGCCAACTGTGAAATTGACTTGAATGCCATTTTCGTGTATACTCATGCATAGAAATATGCACGGAGAAACTCACGCTAAAGCGACGTCACAATGAACTACAGAGACGTTGATAAAAATGTAACAATATTGGGCAGCGAATAATTCAAACCCTGAGTATATTTTGTGTTCTTTTAAACATGCAAATTGTAAATATTAGGAATGTTTTTAAGTTAAGTGTGGCTTATTTATGTGTAAATCACACAGACTTGCAAATAGGCATATTTTTCATGAAGCACTCGCGCTCTTCATGAAATATGCCTACGTTACAAGTCCGTGTGATTTACACACCAGTAACTCACACAAAACCTAAATAATTTGAATATTTACTGTAGTCTGAAACCATACAAGAATCACTCCTTAATATAAATATCGTCAAGTTCACAAGACATTAGTGTTTTTAAGGTTTTAAAATATGTTTAACAATACATCAGTATTTGAACGTATAACTTCAGAAAAAAAAAATTTAATCTGCAAAAGACTAAAAAAGCAAATTGGAAAATTGAACTTTTTATTTTGAAATATTTATGAATAGTCACAAAATATCGAATACATTATAAATTAATTGCATGATTGTAAGGAAATTAAAAAAAAGATTTCACGAGTCCGAAAAAATCTCTGGGCGAACCTGATTTTTCTTGGTTAAATAAATATTTTTATCTCCCGATCATTGGTACAGTGGATTGTATGTTAAAATCAAATCAGGCTATACAGCTTAAAATAAAAACCACAATCTTTCCGCAACGCTCTCCAATTTTCTTTCAGTTAGTAGTCACTGAAACACTTTACTGACGCCCCTTTGACATTCCCCAAACAATAATCCTCTATTTCTTTTCTTATAAAAGCATCATCTTTGAAAAGGAGATCGGTAATTTCGTACTGTTTGGTAGATGATACTTTTCTACTTTTGTAAATTGTAAAATCTGCTGCTCTCGGGATATGAACGAGATCCAGGAAGAGATTAAATATGATGAAAAACATGGCGAAGACAGGGAGATATGAAATTTCATTGCCCTTCCACGAGACTAAATAGAATCAATTAGATAACGCTTTGCATTGAATAATTATGATGAGGTATAATAATCTTTCAGACAGAATAAAATAGTCTCTTCTAAAATTAATTTCATCAGTTTCAAAACTCCCGTTGAATCGTCAATTCGTAGTTGAATTGTATCATCATCTATCAAATAAAGATATACATATGAAAACAGACACAAATATGAAAAAAGATATATGTACCATCCATCCCCCGAAAAATATGTCTCAAAATCCAAAATCCTTGAAAATATGAAAGTTCCATTTATTTCAATTGTTCATGAAACTGACATGGAGTAAATAATGTATATATAACGTGAAAATATTCACCTTGTGATGTTTGGGCAATATATGAAGTACCTAGTTAGGTAATATCAATTATGGCCGCACCTATTGACGTTTGGTCATTAAATGACCTAATGACGTTTCATTTTCACATAACGTACCTATGACGTGAGATCATTTAATTGCCTTAATGTGTTTTGATCATAATCATAATTGATTATAAAATGACGTACCTAGTGACGTTTGATCATTACCTGACGTACTTAGTGACGTTTAATCATCATGATTGTTTCCCTCACTGAAGTCCCAGACTGAAATTTAGACGACCAAGGATATTCCCAGCCTCTCGATAACCATTTTCCATTAAGGAAGGCGCGGTGACAGGAATTGAACCACCATCCCCCTTTGTATAAATCAGCACAGTTTAATCCACCATGTCTATCGTTGTCTCTATCTGAGGTGCTAAAGAACATCCCATTTAGAACAGTGCTTGAACTCCCAGTTTTCATCATACTGTCACCTATTGAACGAAAAAAAAAAAATCAGAAATATAATACACTTAACTACTCAAATCATTGTCGTCAGTATGTCATCAATACTGTCACGTACAAAGAGACCTAGTGTGATTATTAAGAACAATCCCTTGACGCTGTAATATATGAACATGTAATAAAAATACACAATTAAAATGGCAATTAATTGCAGCAGCAAAGACATTGATATGTTATGATACGCAATGTATGAATAAAAAGGGTTCATATTTATTATAAATTCAAATTTTCAAATCATATTATCTAAAAGAAATGAATGAAATATGTGGAGATAACGAACAGTATTCGAGCTCAAAAGTCCATTAAACATTCCAAAATAGGAGCAGAGCAAATACGGACCTCTAAGACATCAAAGGTGGGATCAGGTTCCATGGAGGAGTGAGCATCACCTGCCGACCGGTTACACCCGCCGTGTGCTCCTTGTCATGATCGGGAAATAACGGAGAAATCCGTCTACAATTCAGTGTGTAAATACCGGTATTGGCCTAACAATTACATGTACTTGTAGATTCCTAAATAAACGCCAGGAATAAATTATCGCGTAATTTCGTGAGAAGCACCACTTGTGAAATAAATTTACTCGCTTTTATTTTTATGGTGCTTTAATGTATGTAAAATCTCTAGATAAATCAGCCCTTCGCAAATTATTGTTCTCGCAATTTGATGCCCTTGGGCCATTGCGCGATATAAAATACTCGCGTGAAATAAGGAATCTACAGTAGTATGAAAAAAGTCAGTCAGCATTTGACTTAGTGAAAGATTGTATTTGCTGACAAGGTTATTGTTTCGACCAGAGAACTTACGAAATGATGACTCACACACACAAAATTATACAATGTCTTCAATTGTGTTGTATAAAATTATTCACACACACACCCTTACACACAACTCAGAGAGAGAGAGAGAGAGATCGAGAGAGAGAGAGAGAGAGAGAGAGAGAAAATTAAATGTTTGATTGTACTTTTACAACTCTTTGGAATAACATTTAATAACAGTGTGGGGTGTGTGTATGGGGGGGGGGATTAGGTAAGCATCTACCATGCCACAAACCTAAGGTTCCCCTGAAATCTCCTCTCAGATTGAGTTTATACTTTTCTGCTTCGCTGGAAATCCAAAATCGATCATACACTTCGTACGGTCTGCTGCCATCTGTTAGTTTGAATGAGACATATAGGCCTGAGTTCTTTCCCTTTGTTAACTGACGGATTACGTCATTTCCTGTATCAAGATATACTTTAGATTAATTGCTAAGTGTTCTGCAATACGATAGAAGTGTTAATGTATATCTATATTTTTTGAGGTACAATCAAATTATATTCGAAAGTTATTCATCATCAACAAATACATAGACCTTTTCTGGTACATACGAGGGCTGTTCGAAAATTATTGAGACAATGTGTATATTCTTTTTTCTAATGAACGTCTTTTGGTGAAAATTTCCATATACGTTTGACAATTAATAAAAATTAATAAAAGCAAAAAATATTTTACAAATATTTTATTTCTTTTTCTCAGTGGTATATTTATGTGTCAATGGTAGGGGTACCCGGCGCAGTCACGAAATCAGATGTTGAAAATATGTTACACCAACGTTCAAACTCCCGGTGGACTCATAGTAAGAGCGAAAATAATTCAATTTATGTATATAATTTTTCAATTTAACTTTGACTTCATTTTGTGCAAGTTTGTTAGAATTTCGATAAGAAATACGGAGATCATAAATAAATTTAAGCATAGAAATCTGAGAACGAAGACAAAATGGAACTTGACGTCAAGGCGGCGCAGCGAGCATACCTTTAATTTTGTGTAGCGCTATGGAGAACTCTTTTCCAGGCTAAACGACCTGCTAAAACAATAACAATGCAAAAACTGTGTCTAAGGGTTTTATTTTTTCATTGGTATATATTTTATTCTTACAAAAAATTCAATAAGAGTAAAAACAAGAGCTCCATCAATTATTACGGAGTAAATAACGTTGACTCGCTGTGCAAAAATCGGTATTGCTTGATGCTAATTCAACCTGTCTATGACACTTCGTGTATTTTTACACTGAGGTACAAACAGCACACTTTTTTTTAAATTTTATTTTTTAAAGATTTTTGTAAGAAAAGAGACTGTTTGATTTTTTAAATGTTATATGTGATAACAGAGAAAGAAGAGTAAACCCTTCCCGATCGTTTTACTTGCAAAAACATCTCTGGCTGACATGACGTTAAAATGACGTAGCGATGCTGCTCCAGGTCGATAGACATATGCATGTTTATAATTTCACAGGAACTTGTCTAATTATCGTATAAATTAGAAATTTTGCACATTTCTTTTATTCGTTATTTACAAAATGTTGAAGTTTCATGAATTTATCTCAGGCCTTTACGGAGTAAGAGTAAATGTCTCAATAATTTCCGAAGAGCCCTCGTAATTTTCATTATGAAAAAAAATATTTTAGATGGGTCATGTCACAACAAAAATTCCTTTCTCTTTATCTCTCATCCATCAATTTGTTTTCGTTTATATCATGTAGGATTTCAAAAGCTCACAATAATTGATACATTTTATATATGAAATAAAACCATAAAGCATACCTTTAAAATCAGGTCCTATATTTGTTTCAAAATTTAATATGTCGCTGTAAAGGAGATTTTTTTAAACGAAAGAGTAGGTAAAAATTCAATAAAATATTGAATAAATTTTACCTATCCAGTAATCCTTTTCTGCTGCACCAAAACCATCTTTATATTTTGCCCAATTTTTGGAAAATTTCAGCGATCCATTTATTCGTTTTTGGATTGCCTTAAAGGAATTGACATTGATTCAACATTAATTGTAACAATTAAAAAAAATCCTTCCAATTTATTAAAATGTAAAAGCAATAGTTGTAGGTGATTTCATATATTTGGTAAATGTATGATACTTGTTGATAAAATCGAAACTTTTTTCCAACAGGTAATATTTAAACTATAACTCGAACTTCCTTTGATAATCTCTTCCTTCAAAAATCGGCTTTCGAGACCTACTGGTGTAAAATCTTATTTAAAAAAAATTGATTTCTTAGAACAAGTAAATAAGAATATTACAAAATTACTGCAATAGATCCCCTTTTTCTCTTCATAAATGAATGTAGTGTATGACAATTTGAATGTAGATGCAAAGCTGAACATGTATTTTTAGAAAGAAAGGCAGACTCAGAGCCTTTCAAAGCGACAAAAATAGGCATACTTGATATTCAGTCGTGTGGAAGAAAATGAAAAGAGCAACAAAGGCTTTAATTTAATCGGGTTTTAAAAAGCAGAAAACCAGTTACCTCGAAATGTTTCTAGGGATTGTCTCAAAAAAAAAAATGGAGGACAAAAGTTTATGATACGATATTGTAACATCTGACATATTTTGTAAAATCATGTTTACTTAATCTTGTGGATAAAAATACTGTACTCACATGAAGGCCTGTCTCGAATATGCATAGCATTTCGACCCCATGAATAAAGTTTAATTTAATCACAAAAAAACCTAATCATTAATTTCAGACAATAAGTTTGATATTTTATATTTGGATACCGTCCATCCTCCGTCCATCGTCTCCATATCGCAGAAAACTCGGACAGGACGGGAGTGGTCCCCATAAGGATAAATGACGTAAACACCTGAATTAGTTTGACAATTTTCTTTGAGGTCCTTACAGTCTAAAGGGAGATCTACAAAAAAAAAAATGTAAAAAAATTGCTTTGACGAGGTAAAGATCTTAGCATGCGCAAGTAAATTAAATGTATAGGTATACGTAAAAAAATACAGATGCTAGTATACTACCTGAGTTAGTGTGACACTTGTCATGAAGGTTCTTGTTATCTACAGGAAGTACTAAAACAGGAAAAGTAACGTTAATATAATTTGAAATATATTGAAAATTGTATTTGATAAGCGAATATCATTGCAAGTAATAGTAATAATGAAATGTAAGGATAATAAATAGTAACCCTTATCAAAAGTCCAATCAAACAATACAAATTGTGGGCAAACATGGATCTATGTAAACTGCAGGGGGATCATGTATAATCAAGGAGTGAGTATACTCTGTTGACCGTTTAAAATCGCCTTGTGCCCCTCGTCTTGGTAAACGGTAATATCAGTTGACAATTCAGTTTAAAAATAAACTGAAAAAAGGCAAGCTAACGATAGATTGCATTTGCAAATAAGGTCTTTATATCGACCACTCGAATTTTAGAAATGTTGACTTCAATTGAGAGTGTTGATATCCTTGTATCATCAACTTATTTTTCAGTATCCTGCCTCGTTTTTAAGAAACTGATCGTACATAGAATGTAGCTCTTGTTTTCTATATAAACTGAGACATATATCCGATATACAGGTAATAATGATTTATTGCTTCACAAATAAAGGAGAGTTAAGCCATCACGTTTATAATAAAATTTATTTGTTAGTTTGCCATAAATGTGTTTTTCAAGTAAAATGTTGAAGTATGAATAAATTTGCAGGGTGTCTTTTTTTTCAAGTTCATCGGGATATATTGTATCAACATAGGAACGAAAATAAATGTTGTTATTTAACTTGTAAATAAAGGCTTAAATAACACATTTCACTATGATGTAATAGCTTCCTGTCGATAGTTGAGCAGTGACTTTAGATTAATTTTCTCAACACCTTTTGTCTTTTTATCTCGGTAATGTGTGCTGTTCATTAAACACTTGAAAAAATCACATTATCAAATTGCAATTTTTGTGAAAATTATTTTGCAATAATCTTCCTCGATTTCAATTGTATTGCATTTTTAAACCGCCCTATCTAACCTTCTTAAAACATTTTCAGAAAAAAAAAATCTCCAAAAAAAAAAATGTTATTAACTTAAAAAATGCATAATTCAAGAAGGGGTTATAAGGTCTTATTGATGTAAGGAAAAAATCTCTAAAAACACTAATGACATTTTTTTTTATCTCTTTAATATAGATAGCTAATTTGTAATTTTTATTTTAATATCCGCAGACAGATTAATAAACAAAATCAATGAAAGATGTATTGATGTGAATAGAAATCGATTCAAAACTACAAATAGAGATGCAATTTGATAAATTATTCATAATTCTCACTAAGTAAATGGACTTTGATGATTCCGAATGATTATAGAGGTAAAGCAAAAACGAAGTGCATGGTTATAATTTTGGAAATAACAAAGACATTGTTTTATCAATGCAAATATGTTGTTTGTTTGTTTGTTTGTTTTCTTGAAAATGAGTGGCAGAAGTACGTGTTACTTGGGAATTTGAAATAAAGAAAAAAATATTGAATAAGTTCTAATTCAGTGTAAAGTTTGATAAAAGATATCTTTAAGTTAGTTTAAACATCTGAAGATTGTGTTGCTTAGGTCACAAGCTGTAGTATTGGCTATTAGGTGTTCTTGAGGCGTCTTATCAAGTTTTGTACATCGGGGTACTATACAATACACTTATATGACAATTTAAATTAGCTTTAAAGGATTAATTACGCAGGTAGGTTAAGGCTTCCCGTAGAATATCACAGTGCACTCTGTGCCTTCACATCTCTGAACTACCAAAATATGACGTCATAATGGAAAATGACGTCAAGTCACTGCAAACTTGAGGTGTTATGACGGGGATAGTGTCATGAACTTTACACTTTATTCCAAACTGCATGTAAAATGCCAGATAGCTATTGCAAAATTCACGGGTCTTGAAAGGTTTTTTAAGTCGTATATGTTTAAATATTTTAAAAATACACCGCTTACCTACCCTTGACTGAAATTCAGCATATTCAAAATGCTTATGAAAAATATACTTTTGAAATGTACTCTGTTTTATACCCGTGGTATGAGGTAGAATTTATTTAGTGTGTATAAAAGAGTCTGGCGCAGGTGATTAATGAGGATTAATCTGAGAATTTTTGTGGTAATCTGTAAGAAGAGGTTGTTCTCTAACTGAATCTTGCTTGGGAAAAATGTGTATTGACTTTGTTTTAACACAGATTATGATATTGTGTGGAAAGTACCCTCAAATTTGTAGGTAAGTTGAATTTCTCAGGAAATATTTTGTATCTAAGTAATACTATGACTTTTCCCAAGCATATTTCGGATACACAAGGACACGATGAGTTTATTTATATAATAAAATGTTAATAATTATTGTGTTAATCAGCTGCGCCAAAGCGATTTATATGAAACACTTCAAAAAATTATAAATGACCGTCACGTGATCAGCAAAGTCATGTGATATCATTGCAAATATGTTCATATATAGCCGAGGAAACCCTCTATATAAATTGGAGGTACTTAAGTTCAATACTTATAAATTAAAACTAAAACCGACCTCGCAATGACATATTATGTTTTGATCACATTTCAAAGCTTCGGGAAACCTTAACATAGCTGCGTAACGATTTTTTCCGTCCTTGATATTTTTTGTATTGTTGCCGTTTAAATTCATTGTGTGCTTTCAGAATTGTTAAATCATTAGGAGTTACTCTCAAGAAAAAATAAGAAAAAAATATAAGAAACACAAAATATGATGAATTAAAAAAAATGTTTCTTATGTAAGATTACTTAATTTAATGTTACTTAAAAATGAAATCATACAATAGGCCCAAGGGCCTGAACGGTCACATGAGTATAATGCAACACTATCAAGGATCCATCAAAAGCATATAATAAAACAATATAAACGTGACGTCTATAAATAGAAAAATGACCTTAATGAAAAAGTGAAAAAGTATAACACTACCCCGGGAATAACTTATTTCTTTTTGTGAAAATAATTATGTAAAAACATCACTTGGCCATGAAAAGTGCTGCTAGATATCCTACTCTCCCGACACAGAAAAAAAAATATTCTAAAGTTTCGGATGAAACCTTACCAAATTTTTTTTTTTACATTTTTAAGCATTACATCTTTACATTACGAGCTTTCGATTCAAACAAAAACTATGTTTCAAAGTATGCGGCGTAGTGTTGAACTTTTGCATCTTTGTTGTTAAAACGACAGAAATAAAGCTGATCGGGATTTAAAACACTGCCTGTTTTCATTATAAGAAAACATGATAAGAATACATTGGCGTACATGATTTTTAATCATTAATTCCTTACGAATCACACATGACGTTCACGGTATATGCTTTTAAACTCCCATTTCCTATATTTATTTACATGAATTATCGTCATGTTTAAGTTTCAGTTTCTCAATTTGATTAATAGTTATGACGTCATGGGTTTGGTATTTTTCCCCCGTGAAAGATTCTTAGCTATTTATACCACCCCAAAACGACAAGATTTAGTTTATTTTATGTTTTTGAATGATTCCAGTCACTTTCTGGACCTGAAACTCTAAATATAGCTATTAAGAAATCATTATCTCTAAAGTTCACGTCATACAGCTTACTATGACGTCATATTGTATAGGCAAGTAGAATATCTGGGTGTAGTCTTTACATGCCCGCGTACCGACTTTGAATTAAAAAAAAATCTCGAATGAAGCAGCCTAGCCTATTGTAAACATGCAATCAATTGGTTTGTCTATTTAAAAACCCAGAAACAGAGAAAAAGATTTAACAAAAAATAAGCGTTATGAGCACTTGTTGTTAACATTCCTCCCTTAACATCAAACCCAAGACTTAGGGCCCTGAAATACACAATTTCTTAAGAGGCACCCTTCCTCCTCATAACTTTACACTAGTTTGTGTGTTTAATACCCAAGAACATAGAGGATTTTCAAAGAATCCATGCATTTACACTTTATAATCAACAGAGACCCCTTCTCCCCTCCCCCGAATCCCCGATCATGGGGCTTCAGATTTCACAATTTTGAAAGAGGCATCCTTGCTAATAAAAACCCCGTTTAACGTACTTCGTTTATTTATTTTATATCAATGAGCAGAGAAGAAAATTTATAAATAATCCATACATTCTCACTTTAGGGCCCACATTCAATATAACCCCTCTTTAACACCAGAAATCATGACGCAGGGGCTATGACACGAAAGAAGCAACAATCCTCCTCATAACGATGCACATAATTTATCTGCTTTAAATACATGTACAGGGAAGCGGGTGAAGATTGTAAAGAATTTATGCATTCCCTAACAAAAAAATACTATAGTAAACTATAGTTAACTATAGTTTACTATAGTTAACTATAGTAAATCAAAGTTACAAAGTATTTACTATAGTAAATCAAAGTTCCAAAGTTTTTACCATAGTAAATCAAAGTTCCAAAGTTTTCATTATAGTAAATCAATTTCCAAAGTTTTTACTATAGTAAATCAAAGTTCCAAAGTTTTCACTATAGTAAATCAAAATTCCAAAGTTTTTACTATAGTAAATCAAAGTTTCAAAGTTTTCACTATAGTAAATCAAAGTTCGAAAGTTTTTACTATAGTTAATTAAAGTTTCAAAGTTTTCCCTATACTTAATCAAAGTTTTTTCATTAGTTTAACAACTTATGTATTTTTATTAATTTTTTTTATAATTTAGCCGTTTTAGGGGAGGGGTGGATATGGGGTTGGTTGGGGCTGGTTTTTGTTGTACATCTTTATTTAAATATACAAAGTAGTTAATTCAAATGCAATATTTACATTTATAAATTTAAAAAAAATACATGTTGACTGAAGTTGATGAAGCAGATATTTTGATTCTAAATGACACAATAATATATTATTTTTTCTCCATAAATAAGACTTACGTTACATCTGCATAACATTAAAATTAAATGCATTGAAATAAATATTGCTTATTTATCGGCGCAAGCTACAACCTTTACATTAAAATTCATATCTTGTACATTATTCTTTTAGGGGAGGGGTCGGGTTTTAAAAATGTACTCTAAAGCTTTTATGAATCTTAAACTTGAAATATAATAAAATGTAAAGAATGGGAATCAGAAACATAATTCCACAGGATTTATCGTACTTAATCAAAGTTCCAAAGTTTTTACTATAGTAAATCAAAGTTCCATAGTTTTCACTGAAGTAAATCAAAGTTCCAAAGTTTTCACTACAGTAAATCAAAGTTCCAAAGTTTTTACTATAGTAAATCAAGGTTCCAAAGTTTTCACTATAGTAAATCAAAGTTCCAAAGTTTTCACTATAGTAAATCACTGTTCCAAAGTTTTAACTATAGTAAATCAAAGTTCCAAAGTTTTTACTTTGGAACTATAGTTAACTGTAGTAAACTATAGTTAACAATAGTTTACTATAGTATTTTTTGTTAGGGTTTTCACTAAATTATCATTAGAGCCGCGCCCCCTATCCCCAGGCCACATATACAAATTTAAAAGAAGCACTTTTTGGCATGATAACTGTTCACCTGTTAAAACCCAGGGACAGAGAAGAAGATTTTCAGAATATAATACATTTTCACTGTACATACACAAAAAATAAGCATAATTCTTCAAAACCAAGGAGTAGAGAAGAAGAATGTATGCATTTTCACCATATAATCGACGGATAAGCACAGGGAGCAATGAGACACTTGACTTTGGTGACCAAAAATAGTACATATACATGAATCTCTTAAACACTGCTTAAAGAGGTACACGTATCATAATCCAAGTTCTTTATAAATTATTTATCAGGAATTGTGTGAATATAAACAATTTAAGTAAATATGAGTAATACATACAATGATGAAAAAAATATCTCCATTCCGCCTCATCAGAAATATCAGTCTTGAAAATCTTTTTGTGGGTACGGCATTTCTTCAATTTTGGGTTGTACCCAAAGAAGGTACAATTATTTTGACACATCAAAGAACATTTAAACAAAGATTGGACTTTATTTTCTCCTAAGAATTCTTCATTTGACGTTTTATTATCAAGTTCCAATTTTGCAGTATATATTCTCGAAATAAAGTTCGCTTGAGACAGCCTACATAATAAAGCAATTAAACAGACAACCCAAAAACACTTCATTTTTTACTGTGTCTCAAATTGAAAATGTCTGTGTTCCTATTCAAATTTGAAAATTGGACCCAAGCTGACAGGTATAAATATCAAAATCTTCATATATTTCAGCAAAAATGATTGGTTTACATATTTGGTACTTTGCTATTGCTAAAATATCGATTTTGTTGAGAAAAAATAATTCAGTGTACTCAAGGATTGACTGAAGAAATATCGTATATACGACGGTTGTCCAAAAATTCCGTAGACAAGCGCAGTTTTGCAGGAATCCTATGTCATAAATTAATGACACTTTTTTTAAAAAAATAGAATAAACCATTAGGGAATAATAAATTTATAGACAAACATTGAGTAATTACAAAGATAAACCCAGTTAGAATATTTCTTTGTTTGGTGAAGAAGGTGGCGCAGTACCACAAAAATTGCAAGTAATTATCGATTACAAAAAAGTATTTGATACTCAGAATTACGTGAAGAAAAATGAAAATATATTAAACTGTATTGTTAACTACAACTCCTCAAAAATATGTTGTATTTGCTTTAACTAATGTGAATTTTATAACGTTATTATATATGCACCAGTTTGAAATCCGATTTGTTGAAAAATGGCGGATGCATTTACACAGCGGCGTACTGGGCTGTTATCAAATTTTATATTTTACAGTTTACCCAATCATAACAAGGAGAAATTGTGACCGATCAGAAAAGGATGCTTTCCCACGTCTGCTCAAAATTTGTTTAAATGGACTTCTCACTGTTCGTTATTTCCAAATTTCATTTTTTTTTTTTTTTACATTTTCACGAAAGAAAGCAGTGGTTTGTTTTAAAAACAAAAAGAAATATGAAGAATCTTGTGTTTATCTGTTTTATTGTGTGTTTTACAAATTTTCGTGCTAAAATTACTTTGAAAAGGCGTAACACAAAACCTGAATTAGATTATGCAAAAAGACTCTTTTATCATTATTCTAACCTGTCAAGTGAAATACCGCTGGAAAGTGACGTACGTCGTTTATGCCAATCCCAGCTGAGACGCTATATATAAAAATGCAGAGATCTTTCAATTATACTGTTTATTTATTTATTTGTTATCGTAAATATTTTCTATGAATATTTTAAGGTCCAGTGGGCGTCCTTATTTTATTCCAAGGATTGATCCCTGTCGAGATATTCGGAGTTTATTAACCTGAGTCCTTTTCTATAATGAAGATTTTGAATTATTTATTTCAACACAGCAATACATCCATAACAGCATTATCTTGTGTTCACAAAGGTCTATATTGTGATTTACGAGGGTTGTCCCAGATCTAGAAATACGCGAACATTTTCAACATCTTTTGTTTCACTAATACTATAGAGTTAAAAATTGGCATACATCATGATCAACATTTTTTGAATAATGTATAAATATTTCAAAATATCTCTATAAATAACATTTTCCTCTCAGGTAAATCTTACAAATCAGTTGTCGGCGCAACACTGACAATGTCAAAACGTAGTTTGTAGCATTTATGAATTTATCCTGGAATTGTGCTTCTGACAAAATTCGTTTAAGCATAGATTCGGCACTGTATTTAATTTTCTTTTATTTACCAAGTTATACATCTCAAATACTAGTGTTACCAAAACATTGCAGATTTAAACAATTTCTCAATCCCGATAATAAACCTAACAGTTCGCATTGTTTAACCGCGGCCTTCAATTAAGCCGATGACGTCCAGCTCCTGACTTTCAGTTTGTCTTCATTTTTGTTGGTCTACAAAACGCCTCTTCTATCGAATAACCAGTCAAGTCACTCTCAAACCCCTTTAACCAGGGATAAACCTGTGTCCGAGATTTATGTTTCTGTTCTTCCACCGTTAGCATCTCTTTTATCGTATGGACAGGAGTCATTTCCCACTCAACAGTACTGCTGAATAATTTGGTGCTCCACATTGTCGCCAAACGTAACCATTTTTGACAATATATAATTAAACGTGTTTTGGCATATAACGTCATACATTTGTCATTAATGATGTCAAATTAATAATTTTTTTTTATAAACGAGTACACCAGATCATAGAGTGTTTATGGAGTCAAATTTTTTGACATTATATTTCCGTATAGCCTGGTAAAAAAGAAAACTTCATTGACAATGCTACTTTAAAAAGTCAAAAAATTGCCGTGCGCCGACAACCGATATTTAACACCCTTTGAATGCTGTTAATGATATATACTTATTACATTACAAGCCTAAAATATTTTGTCAAAATACCGAAAATATCATTTTCAATCAACGTGCAAAAAAATATTAGTTTTGGTCGAAGAGTTTCTGAAATATTAAAAAAGTTCGCGTTTTTCTGGGACAACCCTCGTATCTCTATAATTTTGATTATAAATTTTTGGTGTACATAAAATTGATCATATCATAAAAGAAGACATTATTATCTCCCTTGAAAAGTTTTAATTAAAATTCTTTAATGAAAACGTTTGAAAAAGTGCATTCGTTCAATAATTCAAACTGTAAAAGTTTATTTGAACAGTGGGGTTGATTAAGTAACTCCCAAGAGACAAATTAAACATAATACAGTGTACAATATACAGTAGTAGATCTCAGAATTTGTTTTAGGAACACTGTCAACAGCAGATGTCTAGATTGTTAATCCCGTGTATCAACAATAGATACCAATGCAGGTAACACACAGTCACTGGTAAACAATAATTCTGATTAAAATTTGCTTGTAAGCTCACTTTTTTTTGTTTGGACGCGGGTATGTTAAGGCTACACCCAGATATATACTACTTGCCTCTACACTATGACGTCATAGTAAGCTGTATGACGTGAAGTTTAGAAATAATGATTTCTTAATATCTGTATTTAAAGTTTAATTTCAAGTCAAAGAAATGAATGGAATCTTTCAAAAACATAATATACTGAAACGCAAAAGAAACGCAACATCCTATTTTAGGGGGAAATATTATATATAGGATATAATTTTGTATCTAAAAAGTAAGGACATCTTCAACTTTGTAAATATCGGTAATTTAACGGTTGAATGATTTTCATACCATTACCGGAAGTTAAGTTTGAATCCGCTTAACAGAAACCAAAAATTGCATGTTTAACAAAATATTTGGCAATAATATGGGGTTTTAAGAATTTGTATCTGTTCATCATAAGTAATGAAGCAATGTAACGAAAAACTAGAGCCCAGCTCGTTGCAGAGCAACGAATAGGTCTTCCGTTGGAGCAGTGACCTTGAGTCAAGGTCATGCCATATTCTAAGATGATTAATAATCTTTTAAGGGACTATCAACTTGCAATGCTTCGCCAGTAGAAAGACAATAAAATAATGTACACTTTCTCTTTCGTGACCTTGAACTTGTCCAGATGACCTTGCATCAAGCCATGACACACTCTGGCTATGACGCAAACCTATCTGTGTTACCGACTTGACAAGTTAACACATGTTCTTTCAGACCACACATCCAGTAAAAGCATCTTGTTCTTAGTGACCTTAAACTTGAGTCAAGGCCATGACACAGTCTGTATGATACCAACAATACCCATTCAGAGTGTTTCCAACTTGACAAGTTTACACATGTTTTTTTTTCATTTCGTTTCCATATAATTGTAATTTATTACTTTTAACTCGCTGGCTTCAAATTTTATTGTAAATATGTTTTATGTCCAATTTCGATATTGAAAAACGTCGGTGTCCTTGAGTACGTGTACAAGGTGCATTACGTTACCCTATCACATCATGTTTTATAACGCAGACCATACATGTTAAAAAAACCATTTTATTCATCAAAAATCTCTGCTTAATTATCTTTGCCGATTTCTTACAGAACTAGAGTGTTCCCAGGAACGCATGGTTTTAGCTTCAATAAAGATGTAACTAAGTCTAAAAGTTATCAGCAATTTATTTGCTACGGCATTGAATATAGTTCATGCCAAAAAAAAAATCCAGGGACAGTAAGACTGTGATAGAATCTAACAATCAAATAGAAATGCAAATCCTTAACCCCTGAAAGCTAAAATGGATATTAATGAAATTTGAATAAAGGAGATGGGTGAATATGACGAGCGATAAGCCTATAGTGTGACAAACATGAAGATGAAAAATTAAATTTCAATTATATCAAAATTTTCCTTGATATTTCGTCTAACATTAAAATATACTTTATATAAAATCTCTATAATTTGCAAAAATCCCTAAAAGATTGAAATTATTTGCCTGGGAAATATTAGACACACACTAAAGCGGGCAAAAAGAGTCATTTTCTCATACTATAATGCTATTTTTCGATATGAGTGGGTCTTCGCTCCACCTTTTTGAAAGTTAATCCTCAAAGTTTGCATAAAAATATATTTTTTTTGGTTACCAAAAATATGGAGCAATGACCCACTATACCTTAAAAATATACTTTTATGACATAACATTCGCATCTTTTCGAGAAATACTTGAAGTCCATTAAGTCAAGGGTCATATCACAAACATGATTTAAATGCCACTCTTCATCAGGACTTGTGTAGTCTAGTGGTTAGCGTGCTAGTCTCGAAAGAAAATAATACTCAGGATTTTTATTGCCAGGGTTCGAACCCCATGAATACCACATATTTATTTTTTTAATAAAAGAATAAATTTTGCCGAGAAATTTTTCCTCAGAAAAGTTTTGTTTATCGTAATTTCATAAATTTCAATAATGAGAACTTTACTCTAAATACTAAATTCACAAACTGAACATGATTTTTTATATATCTGAAGCTATAGGCTTTTTGCACGCTATGTTCACCCATCTCCTTTATTATAAATAATTATATATAAATTATTTAAGTATGTGATTTCAACAATCCTTCGAAAGAGGCTTCAGTCTATCATATCAGCAATTGTCAGTCTACACCATCCATTTTGGAATACCGATCCCGTTGTATTTTCATAGTACTTAAATTTCAGTTTTTGTGGTTTCCTTTATTTCATACAGTGTCAAAATACATTGTCATGAGCTCATAAACATGTATAACTGTTAATTATCAAACCCTGCCTCTGTAATTTCAAAAGACATAAGTTAAATTTAACCTTCCGCAGTATATTTTACAAAATAGGTCAAAGGTCAAGGTCAAGTGGACTGTAACGCTAGTATTATGACAAACAGTGCACATTCTAAATGGCAAAGACTTACCTCATAAATATCAAAATGAAGTTGTATATCGGCATTATTGGTTATTTTGAAAAGTAGGTCAAAGGTCAAGTTCAAGGATATCTAGATCGGAAGCCATGGAAAAATACAAAAGCCATAGTGTCAAGCTATATGTGCAAATTATCAAATCCATACCTCTTACAATTCTCGAGATATAAGGTGTGACAGACGGACGGACAGCAAGACAGACGCCAGGTAAATTGATCGCTAAGTGCTGCTCTACTCTGCAGGCGACACAAAAATGTTTGTTTGATTGTCTCTTTGTTGTTTAACGTCCCTTGAGCTGCCAGCATTTGCCAGTGGAGGGCTGCAAATTCAGACCTATACTCGACACTCAAGGCCATTGAGCAGTGGGGGATTTTTTTCATGTCGGCACCTACTGCTACACGGGACCTCGGTTTATACGGCCTCATCCGAAGGACCACACTCCACGTTCTGTAGTGAAATTGTTTGTTTGTTTGTGTGTTAACGTTCCCGTCGAGATTTTTCACTCATATACATGTATGGAAACGCCACCACTTGCCGGTGGAGGGCTGCAAATTCAGACCTATACTCGACACTCAAGGCCATTGAGCAGTGAGGGATCTCTTTCGTGCCAGCATCTACTGCTACACGGGATCTCGGTTTATACGGTCTCATGCAAAGGACCGGTCTCCATGTCCCGCACAGGGAGTCGAACCCGCGACGTAAAGATTAACTCCTTACTCCGCGACTCTAGAGCAAACGCTCAAACCACTGCGCCAGGCGGGCGACGTGGTGGTATTCGAAACCACGACTACGAATCGTAGGGGTAGAAATATTTTGATAAAGGTACTATCATTATGAAATCATGTTCTGACTTAAGCCTGTAGAAAGCAATTTCATTTTTTCTGGGACGGGGCACAATCAATCAATTTTTTATATATCTTAGCAAAAAATAAAAAATAAAAAATAAAAAATAAAACCATAATTGCGGGGAGGGGGGGGGGGCACGACCATATAGCTCTAAGCTATATAGTGACTAAGAAGGAATAACTTGTCATTTGTCAAAGTCTTTTACCTAAACTCTTCACTTTTAATTGTCAATAACAGATTCTTGTTACAAAGTGAAAAGTATACATTTATATGTACATATTGTAGTACAGGTATCCATCTCATATGCATAATCTATTTAATCAATCGTTTTATCCTGAAGGGAAAGTGAAATCTCAATCAAAATTTTTCACAAATACTGGACTCTCTGATTGATTATAATATACATGTAAGAACGAATCGTCAGTTAGGACTGCAGGTTTGATAAATTCACAGCATGCATCTTCAGCCTTAATTAAAACGTTGTTTCGAAATATTACACTGTATCTATAAAAGCGTAAAATTAGAATTGACCTAAAGAATATTTTACACCACATGGGAAATGTTTCTGTGGAATCCGGAGTTTACAATTCTGATTGACAGGTGTAGCGCCGTGCATGGATTTCATGTAACTATGTGCAAATAAGAAATAAAGGGATCTAAAGAAAAGAGTTATTGTGATTGACATTGTAATCAAAACAGAGACAATTAAGAGTATTTTGGCTGTGCTGGCCTTTCTGACATTTGAAGTAAAGTTTAAGAATAACTTATCATTGAAATAAAGTTGTAAAAGTGTATTATCAATTATGTTCATTTTCATCATTAGATGTGTGCTAATAAATTTGTTATATTCAAGTCCATGTATATGTACTCCTTGTACATTTTTTTTTCTTTTGAACCGCGCGTGCAAGTGGAATTAA